AGCAGGGCTACCTGCCAACAAGACGGTGGCCCTGGGCAGCAACGTGGAGTTTGTCTGCAAGGTCTACAGTGACCCCCAGCCCCACATCCAGTGGCTGAAGCACATTGAGGTGAACGGCAGCAGCTACGGTCCCGATGGGGTCCCCTATGTGCAAGTGCTGAAGGTAACAAGGGCTGGAAGCACCCGGGTCCCAGATACCCACCCTAAAGTGGTGATGGGGGGTGCACAGAGCCCCCCGAGGAGGAGGGGTGGTGACCATCCAGCCCTCTCCCTGGCAGACTGCAGACATCAACAGCTCCGAGGTGGAGGTGCTGTACCTGCGCAATGTCTCTGTGGAGGATGCTGGCGAGTACACCTGCCTGGCAGGGAACTCCATCGGCCTCTCCTACCAGTCTGCCTGGCTCACCGTCCTGCCAGGTAGGGATGGGGGTCCTGGTGTGGGAGCTGGGACCCCTGGCACGCAGGGACCATAGCTCAGGCCAACTCATTCACTCCCTTCAGAAGAGGAGCTGGTGCGGGAAGCTGAAGCCCCCGAGGCCAAGTACACGGACATCATCATCTACACCTCGGGCTCACTGGCCGTGGCCATGGCCGTCATCATCGTGGTGCTGTGCCGGATGCAGACTCAGTCGAGCAAGCAGCCCCTGGAGCCCATGGCGGTCCACAAGCTCTCCAAATTCCCACTCATCCGACAGGTGGGTGCCGAGTCGGAGCCCCAGGGGTGCAGGGGAACCTTGGCGACCGACTGGTCCACCAGTGCCACTTGCGCCTGTCACACCTTACCCTGCTGCCAGCCTTGGGGCTGCCCTCCCCACTGCCTCCTGCAGCTCCCTCACCCCGTTGCTCCGAGTGAGGGTCTCTCTGCAGCACTGTTGGGTCTCTGGTCCTGGAGCATGGGGCAGGATGGCTGAGGTCCCTTGGGCTCTCTCCGCAGTTCTCCCTGGACTCCAGCTCCTCCGGGAAGTCCAGCACATCCCTGATGCGCGTCACCCGTCTCTCCTCTAGCTGTGCCCCGATGCTGGCTGGGGTCATGGAGCTGGACCTGCCCCTCGACGCCAAGTGGGAGTTCCCCCGAGACAAGTACGGTGCCATATGGGGCAGGTCTGGGTCTGGGATCACTCTGCACAGCCGCCCCGGGGGCAGCAGCGTGTGGGTGATGTTTGGGGAGGTCTCTGGCCGTCACTGGACACCTCAATACTGCCGTACCCCGGGGCACTGTGACTTGGCTTGGCTGGAGACAGGCAGGCCCACTACCCCTTTCCCTTTTGGCAGCCACATCACCTCTTCCCGTCAGGGTTTGGGTGTGCAGTGGTGGGGAGTGGGACCATCCCTGTGGTCCCTCACGGTTCTGCCTGTCTCTGCCAGGCTGGTGCTGGGCAAGCCCCTGGGGGAAGGCTGCTTTGGCCAGGTGGTGCGGGCAGAGGCTTACGGCATCGACAGAGACCGGCCGGACAGATCTGTCACCGTGGCTGTCAAAATGCTGAAAGGTAATTTCTCTGTCCCAGGCACAGAGGTGGCATCAGTGCCAGGCTGCGGTACCACCCCAGCTGACACGGTGACACGGCCCTCCTTCCCCAGACAACGCCACTGACAAGGACTTGGCTGACCTCATATCTGAGATGGAGATGATGAAGCTCATGGACAAGCACAAGAACATCATCAACCTCCTGGGAGTCTGCACGCAGGATGGTGAGGGGGCTGTGCAGGCAGGGTTCAGGCAGGGCATGGGCATGGAGCGGGAGCAGGGAATGGGGGCTCTTGGGGACGGTGACAGGTGGGGATGCTGGGGTGGGACAGGGCAGGAGCTGAGCAGAGTGGATGCCTTTCCCAGGGCCGCTGTACGTGATTGTGGAGTTTGCTGCGAAGGGCAACCTGCGTGAGTACCTCCGGGCCCGCCGCCCCCCAACACCTGACTACGCTTTTGACATCGCGGTGATGCCCGAGGAGCAGCTCTCCTTCAAGGACCTGGTCTCGTGCGTCTACCAGGTGGCCCGTGGCATGGAGTACCTGGAGTCCAAACG